CAGTGGGGAGGGATGCCCATGTCCTTCCAGATGCAGACCCAGATGTTAACTCGGCTCCACCAGCTGCGGCAGGGCAAGGGATTGACTGCTGCCTCGGCTGGTCCGCCGGGTGGGGCTTTCGGGGAAGCCTTCCTCCCTTTCCCACCTCCACAAGAGGCAGCCTATGGTTTGCCCTATGCTCTGTATACACAAGGGCAAGAAGGCCGGGGTGCGTACTCTCGGGAGGCCTATCACCTGCCTTTGCCCATGGCAGCCGAGCCCCTGCCCTCCTCAGCCTCTGGAGAAGAGGCCCGGCTGCCTCCCAGGGAGGAAGCCGAGCTGGCAGAAGGCAAGGCCCTACCGTCAGCAGGCACTGTGGGCTGCGTGCTGGCCACCCTCGTCCAAGAGATGAAGAGCATCATGCAGCGAGACCTCAACCGCAAGATGGTGGAGAATGTGGCATTTGGGGCCTTTGACCAGTGGTGGGAAAGCAAGGAAGAGAAGGCCAAGGTGAGAGCCAGTGCCTGAGATTAGGGAACCTTGGACTTCTCGACACCATAGATCTCAGCTTCTGCAGCCAAGCAGCTCAAGGTGGTAGGGGAAGGACCAAGGCAGGCGGAAGCGAGGCTCAGGGCACGCAGGACACGTCGGTGTGGAGGGAAGTTGGACACAGTGCAGCCAGTGTGCCTGGGCCTGAGAGTCAGAAGAATTTAGTTTAGGTCTCGTTGCTGCCATTTGTAAATTGCAGACAGAGTAGTTGTTTTCCAAGGTTTATAGGCTAAAAAGGCAGACTTTTGAGAAAAATGCCCATAAGTGGCTGGCAGAGGTATAACAGAAATGGTGTCAAGTGGGAGAGCAAGTAAGTGCATTTCTGTATCCTGGGCCTAGGGAGTGAGTCTCAGGCGGGAGGGAATGCCTGCAATCTCAGTCCCGTTCTGCTTACAGCCATTCCAGAATGCAGCCAAACAGCAAGCGAAGGAGGAGGATAAAGAGAAGACAAAGCTGAAAGAACCGGGCATGCTGTCTCTCGTAGACTGGGCCAAGAGTGGGGGTACCACAGGCATCGAGGCCTTCACCTTTGGTTCAGGGCTGCGAGGGGCCCTGCGGCTGCCATCATTCAAGGTATCCAGAACGGGACTTGCTAAGTAGGATGGGGAAAGTGGGGAGAGGGCCTGCTGTCCTTGGGCTGTGGGGGTTGGGAACTATGAGTGTTTGGGGTCTAAGTGGGCCTCATCTGTTGCCTGTCCCCCAGGTAAAGCGGAAAGAACCGTCAGAAATTTCAGAGGCCAGTGAAGAAAAGAGGCCCCGGCCCTCCACTCCAGCCGAGGAAGATGAAGATGGTGAGTTGGAGATCAGACAGAAGGGAAAAGGGACAGCGAGATTCTGAGAGGAAAGGATCAGGGTGTCTTAAGGTTAGGGAGCCAACAAGAGATCTTGCTAGAAGGTTAAAGCTTGCTGGCTCATGCCTGCAGGAGGATGGCCATGAGTTTGAGGCCAGCCTAGGGAACATAATGTGTTTAAGGCCAGTCTGAGCTACATAGCAAGCACTTCTGAGGTGTCAGAAGCATCCTCTAGGTTCTCCCTGCATTGTAGTTGTGGTTATTACTATAGTGTGCTGATTTATGTTTTTCTGTATCTTAAACCACTTACAGAGGTGGTAACTTCAGTACTGAGGATCACAGAGCTCCGAGGTTAAACAAATCGTCTGCCCAAGTCTGACGTCTAATGCTTCCATTCTCCTACAGATGTCCCTGCAGCCTGTCCAGTCTGAGCTGTTGGCTAAGAGCTCACATGGTTGGGAAACTTCCTAATGGAGTCCAGCCGACTTCTCTGGAGTCCCATTGCCTTAGTACTCTTTTTCTGGGGCAGGCATAACAAGTAGACTCCCCCTTCCACCCAGCTCAGAAAAGGACAAAAGATAAAGCGGGTGGGATGTGCTGAGAAGTACAGAATGTTAGTAGCTGAGATACTTGTTTCTGTACTGAGCTTCAGCTTGCTTCCAGGCTATAAACAGGCCCGTCAGGAGGGTCAGCAGTAGTGTGTGGAAAGCTCCTTGCTCGTGGTAGGGGAGCAGTAATTTACTGTTGGTGGGGACTTTCCTAACCACTGGTCAACTGGCCCAGATTCTGAACGAGACAAGGAGGCTGGAGAACCAGGACGTCCGGGGACCAAGCCCCCAAAGCGGGATGAAGAGCGAGGGAAGGCCCAAGGCAAGCACCGTAAGTCCTTTGCTCTGGACAGCGAAGGGGAAGAGGCATCCCAGGAGTCCTCCTCCGACAAGGTAAGGGCCAGAGTGTGCCGTCCCTGCTAGAAGCCTGTTTCCCAGATGTTTGTTCATAGCCATCTCCTCTCTGCCTGAAACCCAGGCAGCTGTGCCTCAGGGAGAACTAGTTGTTGCTTTCCTGTTAATTCCTGTTTGTTCTTTTCCTTGAGGATGAGGATGAGGATGAGGAAGATGAGGAAGATGAAGAGCGAGAGGAAGCTGTGGATACCACTAAGAAGGAGACAGAGGCATCAGATGGTGAGCACAGAGTTGAGTGGCATTCTGGCTTGGGGAGGAAGGGATTCAGTTACCTGGCTTGCCCTTTCCCGAGCCCACAGAACCTTTCTGCAGGACCTGCTGTCCACCTTGGCCTTCCACAGGGCAACTCTTTGGCCGTATTCTCTGAGGCGCTGGCCCTTTGGATACTTTAAACCTGGTACTCAGATCATTTCTCCTGTTTTCCTCTCTTCTTGAGGACACCCTAGCAAAATCTGTTCACTTTCCTAAGCCCTAGAGATAAGGAATCTGTATTCTTTTGTCCATTGATGCAGCCAGCTTTCACCTGCCCACCTTTGAATACTGCCCTCTCCCTGTAAGGCGCAGCACCCAGGCTGTGCCCCCACTCTCTACCCTTCCTTGCAGCTGCATAGCTGGGCACTCTTCTGGCTCCCCACGTTCTGTCAGGTATTGGGTATGTGGCTTGGTTTCTTTCTTATTCATTCATAAATACGTTTTGAACCACTGCTTTGTGGCAGGTGCTATTTTGGGTACTTAGGACATTGCAGTGGCCAATGCAGATGTGGTTTCTGCTTTTGAGATCTTGGAGGGAGTGGAGGCTTAATAGACAAATGGACAAATCCTGTCACTTCAGTGGCATCTGCTTTGAAGAAGATAAATAGAGGAATTGGGTGGAGAGTGACAGATTGTGGAGCTGGGGAAACGTGTACTATTTCTGTGAGGTCATTGGACACCTTTGAGAAAGGCCACTTCAGTGGGGCCCAGAGCCTCTTCCCTAAGCAGAAAGCTCAGTTTTCTCTGGAGAGTAGAGGTGCGGACCCTCCCCGGCTTGTTGACCACCTGTTCCTGTCAGTCTTAACTTCTGGTTGCTTCTTAAATTATTTGGCATTTTCTGTCCTCCTGGCATACCCTACTTTCTCACTGAGAGTTTTGGCACAATCTTGACTAATTTTTCTCTCTAGTTCCATTCTTCTCCCTCCGTGCCATTCTGTCTTTCAAACTGCTAATGGGATTATCTTCCCTAGAATGCACACTTTCTCTTCACACTGTCTTCTCCTGACTTCCCACTTTCCTACATCCTGACACTGTGAGCCTTTATACCTGAGCCCCTGCTTACTACTCAGCTCCATCTCGCCATCCTCCAGCTCCCTTCCCATTTCTTCCTTTCTATTCTAATTTTCCCAGTTACATTCTTCAAAGATTATATAGCTTAGATTTCTTAGGGCCTTTCTCATACACTACTGATTTCCTAAGTGTGTAGAGCATGTTACATTCTCAAGCTTATTTCATCTCAGAACCCTTTCTCACAGAGTTCATCATCCAGTCTGCCCTTAAGGTCCTCCTTCAGAAAGCCAGGTGTGCTGGGCTTGGTGGCTCATGCCTGAAATCCCAGCATTTGGGAGGCTGAAGCAGGAGGATCGCTGTGAGTTCAAGATCAGCCTGGGATACACATTGAGTTCCAGAGCAGTGTGAACTACATAGTGAGACCCTGTCTCAAAAAAACAAACAAAAAACAGCCAGGTGTGGTGCACACCTGTAATCCCAGCACTCAGGAGGCTGAGGCAGGAGGATTGTTGTGAGTTTGAGACCAGCCTGGGCTACATAGTGAGTTCCAGGTCAGTTTCAACTACATAGTACATAG